CCCCATTTTTGGAGGACGGGCTGGTGTGTGTTTACTAGTTGTGTTTTTACGGGGGTTGAGCTTTGCTCTTTCGGCCAGCCTCTCAACTGTCAATCAACTGTTTACTACTTTTTTTTTTTTTTTTTTTTTTCCACACCATACACACACACCCCAGGAAGCAGCCCGTGACAGCTGACTAACTCCCAGGTACCTATTTACTGCTAGGTAACAGGGGCACTTAGGGTGAAAGAAACTTTGCCCATTTGTTCCTGCCTCGTGCGGGAATCGAACCCGCGCCAGACAATTACGAGTCCTGCACGCTATCCACCAGGCTACGAGGCCCTCGTAGTGTGTGTGTGTGTGTGTGTACATGTGTACGTGTGTACTCAGTTGTACTCACCTAGTTGTGTTTGCAGGGGTTGAGCTCTGGCTCTTTGGTCCCGCCTCTCAACCGTCAATCAACAGGTGGACAGATTCCTGAGCCTATTGGGCTCTATCATATCTACACTAGAAACTGTATGGAGTCAGCCTCCACCACATCACTTCCTAATGCATTCCATTTGTCAACCACTCTGCCACTAAAAAAGTTCTTTCTAATATATCTGTGGCTCATTTGGGCACTCAGTTTCAACCTGTGTCCCCTTGTGCGTGTGTCCCTTGTGTTAAATAGCCTGTCTTTATCTACCCTATCAATTCCCTTCAGAATCTTGAATGTGGTGATCATGTCCCCGCTAACTCTTCTGTCTTCCAGCGAAGTGAGGTTTAATTCCCGTAGTCTCTCCTCGTAGCTCATACCTCTCAGCTCGGGTACTAGTCTGGTGGCAAACCTTTGAATCTTTTCCAGTTTAGTCTTATCCTTGACTAGATATGGACTCCATGCTGGGGCTGCATACTCCAGGATTGGCCTGACATATGTGGTATACAAAGTTCTGAATGATTCTTTATGCAAGTTTCTGAATGCCGTTCGTATGTTGGCCAGCCTGGCATATGCCGCTGATGTTATCCTCTTGATATAGGCTGCAGGAGACAGGTCTGGCGTGATATCAACCCCCAAGTCTTTTTCTTTCTCTGACTCCTGAAGAATTACCTCTCCCAGATGATACTTTGTATCTGGCCTCCTGCTCCCTACTCCTATCTTCATTACATTATATTTGGTTGGGTTAAACTCTAATAACCATTTGTTCGACCATTTCTTCAGCTTGTCTAGGTCTTCTTGAAGCCTCAAACAGTCCTCTTCTGTCTTAATCCTTCTCATAATTTTGGCATCGTCCGCAAACATCTAGAGAAATGAATCTATACCCTCCGGAAGATCATTTACATATATCAGAAACAAAATAGGACCGAGTAAAGAGCCCTGTGGGACTCCACTGGTGACTTCACGCCAATCGGAGGTCTCACCCCTCACTGTAACTCTCTGCTTCCTATTGATTAGGTACTCCCTTATCCACTGGAGCACCTTACCAGCTATACCTGCCTGTCTCTCCAGCTTATGTAGTACTGTGTCAAAGGCTTTCCGACAATCCAAGAAAATGCAGTCCGCCCAGCCCTCTCTTTCTTACTTAATCTTTGTCACCTGGTCATAGAATTCTATTTAAGCCAGTCAGGCAAGATTTACCCTCCCTGAACCCATGTTGACGATTTGTTACGAAGTTCCTTCTCTCAAGATGTGATACCTGGTTTTTTCTCATGATCTTCTCCATCACCTTGCATGGTATACAAGTCAAGGACACTGGCCTGTAGTTCAGTGCCTCTTGCCTGTCGCCCTTTTTGTATATTGGGACCACATTCGCCGTCTTCCATATTTCTGGTAGGTCTCCCGTCTCCAGTGACTTACTATACACTATGGAGAGTGGCAAGCAAAGTGCCTCTGCACACTCTTCAGTACCCATGACGAGATCCCGTCTGGACTAACAGCCTTTCTAACATCCAGATCCAGCAGGTGTCTCTTAACCTCCTCTCTCGTAATTTCGAACCCTTCCAAGGCCGCCTGGTTTACTTCCCTTTCTCCTAGCACAGTGACCTCACCTTGTTCTGTTGTGAAGACCTCCTGGAAGCTCTTGTTGAATTCTTCACACACCTCTTTGTCATTCTCTGTATACCTGTCCTCGCCTATTCTAAGGTTCACTACCTGTTCTTTCAATGTTGTTTTCCTTCTGATATGACTGTGGAGTAGCTTTGGTTCGGTCTTGGCTTTGTTTGCTATATCATTTTCATAACTTTTCTCTGCTTCTCTTCTCATCCTGTCATACTCATTCCTGGTTCTCTGGTATCTCTCTCTGCTTTCTGGTGTTCTGTTATTCCGGAAGTTCCTCCACGCCCTTGTGTTCAGTTTCTTTGCTTCCATACATGCCCTTTTATACTATGGATTCTTCTTTTGCTTCTCGGATTTTTCCTTTCGGCCGGGATGTATCTGCTTACTGCCTCCTGAAACTTTTGGGTGACATAGTCCATCATATCTTGTACAGACTTACCTCTGAGATCTGTGTCCCAACGTATTTCCCTTAGGAAGCTTCTCATCTCCTCATAATTGCCATTTCGGTATGCCAGCCTTTTGTTTCCTAATTCTTTTTGGGGGAAGATAATTCCTAGCTCTACCAGGTACTCAAAGTTCAATACACTGTGATCACTCATTCCCAAGGGTGCTTCCATCTTAACTTCCCTTATATCCCACTCATTTAGGGTAAATATCAAATCAAGCAAGGCTGGTTCATCTTCTCTCATTCTTGTTGGTTCCTTGATGTGCTGGCTTAGAAAGTTTCTTGTTGCCACGTCCAGCAGCTTAGCTCTCCATGTTTCTGGTCCTCCATGCGGGTCTCTGTTCTCTCATTCTATCTTCCCATGGTTGAAGTCTCTCATGATTAGTAGTCCAGATCCATTCCTGCTAGCAACAGAAGCTGCTGCTCTATATTGTGTTAATGGTGGCCATGTTGTTTCTATCATATTCCTGTCTGGGTCTTCTGTCATTTGGTGACGGATTATATATGAATAAGACTATAATTTTTTGCCCTGCAGTTGTTATTGTATCTGTTATGTAGTCACTTTGTGTACGTGTGGTTCGACGAAGGTTCGGCTGAGGTGTCTGCGCGACTTCCTTTTTGCCGACGACGCAGCAGTAACAGTTACGGTACCTGAGCAGAGGAGGATAACATGTAACACACTGACGGTACTCGTGTACATGTACTCCAGACACCACGTCGACCATGTCAGTCCCGTAATAACATGTTTAACAGGATGCCAAACAAGGACACAGAAGGTCCTCTGATTTCAGCCACACTGAAGGGTCGACATGTTAAGATTTTCCTAGACACAGGAGCTCGAATCATCATTAAACAAGACGCTCTTCATGACCTACGCGACCGACTCGATATACGCCAGTCGTCTGTTTTCAACCTTGGTGGACTTACTGGAGGAATGACTCCAGCGTTAGGTGAAGCGGACATAGAGTTAATAGTTAATGACAGATCACTCGCCGTGCCATGTGTAATAACCAGTGCAGTATGATTCCCTGGAGATATTTTACTAGGATTAAACACCATGAGAGGCTACCGAGTTACTGTCGATGCTTACCGTTGGGAAGCAACAATTGGCAACAATTGGTGAGGTACAGTGGTACCTCTTTGCAGTGTGTACACCATGGGACATGAGTTCACCAACCATTGGGACTATGTCAGGTACATACAAACCAGGGAAGACCAGGGTACACTTAACCAGTCACGCCCAAACAAACCCGTCAATCAGTCACTTACTGACACCAGACCAACGCACGTTTCCACAGTCTCGCAGGTCGGTGAGGTCAATGTATCATTGCAAGGGGCCCCAGCGATTGTTCATTACCTTACTTGCCTGGAGTCTAACATCAGTCAGGTCAGAGGCATCTTACACCAAGACACGGTACTACATTCTCATGCACTAACAAAGGTTATTGTCAAAATACCTGGTGTATCTGACCTAGAACACGTCATAGCTGACAGTGACACATGTCAAATCAATGGTACCTACATAGAACCGTCCTTACATCAGGTGCAGAATAACACTACTGCTGTTTATGTTGCCAACGTCACCAATGCCAACATTCACCTTGCATCAGGCACACACATTGTTCACTTTGCCCATTATTCGTTACCGGTGCGAGTAGTGGATGAGGTCTCTACTGACCAAATAGTACATGCACTCACTCACACAACAAATCGAGATCAGGTCGCGATCTCACCTGTACATCTTAGTGCCACTGACTTGCACTGACAGGTGAACAATTTGGACTGACACACCTCATTACTCACAAAATTCCACTGGAACCAGGTACTCGCCCAATTTTTGTACCCGGATACAGATTGCCTCATTCTCAACGAGCTGTTGCAGACCGACTCATTGACGAGATGTTACACGATGGCGTTATTGAAGAAAGTACTTCACCATGGAATGCTCCGTTAATCTTAGTACCCAAGAAGGATGGCTCTTGGCGCCCCGTCGTTGATTTCAGGAAACTTAATCAAGTTACGATTCCTAATCGATTTCCACTTCCCGTGCTTACTGACTTATTGCAGAACATTGGTCAGAATAAGGTTTTTCCACACTTGATTTATTGCAAGGATTTTGGCAGATACCGCTCGACCCAGAAAGTCGAGAACTGACGGCGTTTTCCGTCCCTAATGGTCATTACCAGTACACCCGCATGCCTTGTGGCTTACGCAGCAGCCCTATTACCTTCTCAAGGCTTATGACAGACCTGTTCCGACGAATGATAGGAAATACCCTCATGGTCTACCTCGATGACCTCATTATCATGTCCAAGGATGTACCCTCACATCTTCAAGGTTTGGACCGAGTCCTTCAGAAACTAGCTGAAGCCAATCTGAAAATCAAACTTAGCAAATGCGCCATCATGAGAAAAAAAATACAGTTTCTCGGCCATAACGTCACCTCACAAGGCATCACCACTCTAGATTCAAAGATAGAAGCTGTCAAAGAACTTTCCAGTCCCTCGTAATGCTGAAGCTGTACAAAAGTTCATAGGCCTAGCTATGAACAACGGCATAGACAATGGCCCGAAATTCAACAAATCTGTTCTGGAACAACTGGCTACATTGTACAACATCAAAAAGTGTAATATAATGCCTTATCAACCGGCTTGCAATGGCCTTGCTGAAAGAACCAACAAGAAGGTCCTTGACGCACTCAGAGTGACAGTCAATCGGGACAGTCACAAATGGGATGAACTAATGCCACTCGTCCAATGTTCGATAAACTCCTCTGTCAACTCCTCCATAGGAGACACACCTCACTTTGTGCTATTTGGGACAGACATGAGATTTCCTAATGCCATCATCTCCGCGCCGCCTGCGCCACTCTACAACTATGACGACTATGTTAAGGTAAAACGGAGAGACACTCGACTGGTGTTCCAGAGAGTCAAGGAACATCTCTCTAAAGCTACTGACGATTTCACGTGGTTACAAAACGCTCATGCTAAACCTACGAGGATAGGACCTGGATCTTTAGTAATGATCCTCAACCAGTGACGAGATGGTCCCATGTACAAACTGACTGAGAAGTTCCTTGGTCCCTACAGAGTTCTTGAGCATATCACAGGTAATAAGTACAAGCTGGAAAACCTAGCCACTGGAGAACAAGTACATGAGCATCTCAACCACATGAAACTAGCCCGTCTGACTTTTGACGATGACACCCCGACTCCTGTCCCTGACAACGTACTGTGTGACCCTACCACTGTGACACCCACTTCGGTCTCAGACACGCCCAGCGATACTACCCCACCACGTACTCACACATACAATCTTCGGTCCAGACCTGTTATTTCGACAGTACACCACCAACAGTCTGATGATTCATCTTCGTGTGACTGTGGTGTTCCAGTCTGTAAGGGACAATGGATGCGTTCTATCTGTTCCCCTCTCCCTGCCTGTTCATACATGGCAGAGGAAGACTACGTTCGTGATGGACTAGCACCAGAGAATTCATAGTTTTATGACTCGATTTAAGAGTGATTACAACAATCGTTTCGCAACCCTCGGTTCAATGTATATAGACCCTTCCACCTCAGGTATCTTTGTTCGTAGTTTATTGATCTTGTCGTGTCTCTATACACTATGTAGGTCCTCGTGTTCCTGCCACGTTCATGCTCTCCATATTTTAGTGGAAATGTCGCTTATTCTATATATTGCCATGTAATATATTGTGCCTACATTAGTGTCTGCCGTTTATAATCTACTTAACAGGTAACACTGTGGCTGAGCATCATGAGTTCCTACGCGCAACTTCTGGTCCGCTGACTCTTCAACTATCACTTGTACCTGCAGCCGGACCTCCTGCCTCCAGTTTGCGCAGACATTTAGCTAGTTAGTCATGATGCTCCATGGATAGCTTAGTTTGAGGAATATATTTAAGAAATGTACTCATTATTCATGCATGTCCGAGGCGGTGTTGGACGTCTCAAAACTTGTTTGTTTACGGCCACTATAGGTAAATCACTGTATATAATGTTAGTTAGGTACACGCCCAAGGGTTGTCAAATTTTTCAAGCAGATCGCCGAGGACGCCGATGATAGCGTGCCGAGCGGTGTTGGACGCCAGTTAGTCGCCATGGACATACACATAGGGTGACCTAATACCCTCTTAAGCTAAACAACTTAATAGGTATCAACAACGTCGTCAGCAGATTTGAATGCAATCTACTCTGCGCCTGCAGACCTCAGACCTTCAGAGACAGCCAGGGCCATCGGAGCGTCTACACGCGCTCCCTTACACACTCTAGCTAGCTCCTGGCCTGGTGTAGAAGATATATATATATTTATAATAAACTTAGGAAAAGCAGTGGACGTTTGGTACTCCAATTCCTGCCCACTACCGAGTAAACTCCAGACCATCCTAATCATTCTACAACAACATCAACCGATGTTACAGGGTGAGGGAGTGTGTGGCAGGGTGAGGGAGTGTGTGGTAGGGTGAGGGAGGGTGTGGCAGGGTGAGGGAGTGTGTGGCAGGGTGAGGGAGTGTGTGGCAGGGTGAGGGAGTGTGTGGTAGGGTGAGGGAGTGTGTGGCAGGGTGAGGGAGTGTGTGGTAGGGTGAGGGAGGGTGTGCGTGAGTGAGGGGAGTGAGTGTCAGAGTCGTGCACGTGAAGAACACCTCAGAAATGTTGCGGTGTTGAAACCAGAAAGATCTCTGTTTTTTTTTTTTAGTTAAGTCGTTGTAGTCCATTTTTGTTCTTGTACTTATTTGTTGATAATAATCTCAGTGGATAAGATACAATATTAGATATAATTGAAGTGTGATAGGCCTAGGTAAATAATTAACCCTGTGTCAAACACAAGCATACTTCAAGCAGCAGCGGTGGTGACACACTCCACCGCCAACTAGAACAAGCAGACCACTGCACCACAACCCACTAGAACAACCAAACAACCACACCACAGCCCACTAGAACAACCAAACCACCACACCACAACCCACTAGAACAACCAAACCACCACACCACAACCCACTAGAACAACCAAACCACCACACCACAGCCCACTAGAACAACCAAGCCATTCCACCATAGCCCACTAGAACAAGCAAACATTCTCCTTGATCAATGGACACTAACATCAAGCTATATTTCACTCCCAGTTACCATACAGAACAAACTTAATGACACACGCCCCAACAGACAACGAACCACCAATCTTGCCTGTGCAGCCATTGACATGTCGGATCTTAATGATGTAACTGGATGGAAATTAATTCATGTGCTAAAGATGGGCAAATCGACTGCTCCTGGTGAGAACGTTATTACATACAGCTTGCTGAGATTAGTACCAGGTAATTAGTACTACAAGTACCAGGTAATTAGTACTACAAGTACCAGGTAATTAGTACTACAAGTGCCAGGTAATTAGTACTACAAGTACCAGGTAATCCACTATTAGTGTCGTACAGAATGAGGTTAAGTGAAGGGGTTTTGCCTGATGCTTGGACAAATAGAGTCATAGTTCCTATTCCCAATCCTTTGTATTTTCTCGAGAGTGGACGGGTCCGGCCGCCACTTGTTCCACTGTGAAGCAACTATATAGTTGCTTCATATATAGCACTTGCGACTATATAGCACTTGGAAGGGGTCAGGATAAGGATTTGGGATGGGACGGAGGGCAGGAATGGTGTCGAACTACTAGGTCGGTCGGGGGATTGAATGCCGACCTTCATGACGGGAGACCGTCGCTCTACCGTGTGGAGACACGAACGACTCGCCAGTCGCCGAGGGCGCCACCACCAAGCAGGCAGACCCAGGAGCCACACACAATGGTTTGGTCTACAGGTACCCAGAAGGCAAGGTCGAGCCTGTAGGGTTTTCAAGTGAACTGTTAGTGGACTGAGGGACCTGAGTAGATGTCAATGGCCAGAGTAGATGTGAAATGTCCCAGGGCAGAGTAGATGTCCCTGAGCAACAGGAAGTTGTACCATTTATTGAGGGCGTTATTTATTCAGCAGTGGTTAATTTTTATTTATTTATATATACAAGAGTTCTTACATTCTTGTACAGCCACTGGCACGCATGGTGTTTCGGGCAGGTCCTTAATCCTAATTTTCCCCGGAATACGACCCGCCAAATCGTTTAACCACCAGGTACCCATTCACTGCTGGGTGAACAGAGGCTACACTTAAGAATTGGCACTCAGTCATTCCTCCCCGGTCAGGAAACGAACCCAGGCCAAAGAGCTCGCGAAGCGCAAGGCGAGTGCTTCAGCACTGCGCCACAGGGACTGATGTTGTATTAGGCTGAGGCCCTGGCCGCTTATGAGAGCACGGGCTCTCCGAAATAACAGTAAAATTTATGCAGCAGAGTCGAGACGACAGCGGCAACCGACTCGTATTTATTGTAGGAGAAGTAAGGGGCCGAGAGCTAGAGCCCTGGACGATCGTATGAGGATCGGCTTAGATAAAGTAACAGTTTGGGGGCCAGTGTTGTGAGCCCCCAGGCGACCGCGTGAGGGCTGGTCTATATGTAGAAATAGTGACGGTGATTCAAGAGATTAAATGTGTATTCCGAGGGACCACGAGGGAGGCGGGGCCCGCGAGCTGAAGTCCAGGGAGCAAGATTGTGAATACGCGTTCCAGGACTATTCCAATATATTTGTAGTCTGTGTTCATGCAGAGAAACTAGCTGGCAACAGCAACCAAGAGACCTACAAGTTGCCACTTCGAAGGTTGAATAGCAACTGAGCTAGCGACCAGAAGAGCCGTCATAAGTAGTCTCCGTCAGAGATAAGAAATTAATTTTGGTATAAAAGTAATTTTATTTTAAATGTGGCGGAGCTACATTGGATTTGGAGTAATAAAATAAGCTTACTTGTGCATAGCTTGATGAGACTATTGTGTGTGGGTCCCCACGAGCATATTTTGTAATAATTACTTACTCGGATAGCAGGTAGCAAATGATCTGGACTACCAGGGAATGCCAAAGGTGGGTTTTACCTTATCAGATATTTACAGTTAGTGTGTAGACTTATTTAAAAAAGATTTTTACTGGTTAGATTAAGGAGTGATGAGTAATGACTGAAGCAGTGGAAGCATATTTAAACGTTAAGGGATAAAGATTAATTTACATGTAAGATTAATTGGTCCAGTGATTTAACAATGCATTTAATCACTAGGTGGTGATTTTTTGTTAATTTTGGTATTGATTCATATGACTCTTTTAGAATTGTTTTTTATTATCAATGTAATTCCTTATATGTACATTTATATGTAATGAAGTGATATATGGCCCAGAAGAGGCTCTGGACTTATTTACTGTGTAAAGAACCGACAGAGATTAATTGTGCAAATTTTGTAGACGAGGCTACTGTCGGAAAGCCCGGCACCATTTACTAATATTAAATACAACAGGCAGATAATATTGCTGTTGTATACACAAGTTAACCCATAGAAAATGTAGCTTGTAGTGGAAATTTCCATCAATAGAAAACGGGATATCATTGCCACATAGTGCTATAAATTCACCAGCTATTCTGTTGGGAATTATACTTAATACAGTAGTCTTTGGACTTATTACATCATAAAAACATCTCATTTGAATTAACTTGATTACCAGTATCAAAATAGAGTAAATATGACCCTTCTACCACATGTTGACATCTGGACAAGGAGAGCCACCAGGAGTGTCAGTGGTGAGGGAGGTTAGCCATTGTTAAACCAAGTCGCTGAGGAGCAAGTTCAGCTCCTATAATACTCCCCTGGACGAAGTGTTATGGAGATCAAATTAGTGCTTCTACCATCATCAACGTAGTCAACATCTAAACAAGGGAAGTGTCTTTCTGAAATCCTATTTAGTCATTATTGGCCAGTAATGTTAGGGAAATAGGATTAATTCCGGTTAGGACATGAGGCAACGACTCAACCCAGGTAATTATTCCTTGGTCCTTATCTTATACAATGTACAGTATGTTCTCTGATATAGCTGTCATATATAGGATTACGGCTTTACAGCTAGTGCCCTTTGACAGGAACATAGAAGAGGAAGCAA